ATCACTTTAATCTCAACAATCAATCAACACAATTCCCAAATTAATCACAATAAATCAATTGTACAAGTTTCACCCAATTCCTAGCCAACAACTACTCAAATATCATCATCTATCAACAATCAACTAAAGGAATTAAGAATCAACAATACATCAAGAACAATTACACTAATCAAGCATCAAACATCAACATTAAACCAAAAAAACAAGAAATTAAACAAATCAATAAGGTGAGATAGAGTTAAGAATGCTCATTGATAATAGAGAAGATCTTCAACACAATTGTCACCCTTGTATCTTCAATCTCTCAATCACCATTGAAATCCTTCACTTTCTCTATCTAAAACTACTCCTAATCTAGAGAGAGGAACTCATAATCTAAGCTAATCCTCCTTAGAGGAGAGAGAAACTATCCTAAACTAAAAGTATTTCATGTATGAAGAATAAAGAAGGTCGTGCAGTATATATACAAAAGGAGGAAATCAATAAAATCGCAAGTAAAACCCAGAAAGTCGTGCCCGCGGAGAAATCGGTCGCGCCCGCGGGTTGCCCATGGCCAGCCCTCTCCAAGTTCCTGGTCAAAAATGGGCAGAAATAGGTTGCAGCAACCCCGTGCCTGCGGGTACTATAGCCCGCGCCCGCAGCAGATTTGCAAGGTCAACTTTGGAAGGCTGTAACTCACAATCTAAGAATTGTATGAAGGCGTGCAACCTATCATTGGAAAGCTCTTCAAGCCTAGTTTCCAACCCAACTTGAATCACCTCAAGCCGATCTGTAGAACTCGAGATATTTCTGAAACAATGCAAAAAGATCCTTTTTGATACTTTGCAAACCTTCGTTTTCTTTTGTTTCTAACTCAAATTCAATTCTGAAAAGTGCATATCGATCCTAGAGGATGTTATTTTCAATTCCCATGCATATAGCCCGCGACGTACCTCAAAACAAGACAAAGAAACGGAGAAGCGAGAAAAATAGCCGAGAAATGAATAAAATGATAAGAAAACCATTAAAAGCACGCATTTCTCTAACTAACACAAAAACACACAAATTGAACATTATTCTCTAAAATCACGACATAAATGACTAAAAACGAGCATAGAAATATAAAGAAAAGATAGCCTCAAGGTGCCATAAATGGCACGGATCTTTTGTACATTAATATTCAACCAACATAGTTTAAACAGGTTTAGGGTTAATCTATTTCTTGTATGTCAGTCAGAAAGCGCACATGAATACAAGAAGAATAAAGTAGAGGCCTATTTTTAGGGTAGCTTCAATCTCTTTTTATGTTAGATTTGTACCTTCATCCCTCAATATCCAGTCATGGTTCCAGACCACTATGGAGTTAGCGATCTCATGGATCGTGAAGGGGTGTAACCTTCACCTTGTGAACGGTTTGCAAGTTCCTAAAACTTGTTGGCGACTCTTTTACTCTAGCTTCGTTCCTTTGGACACCACCATGCTTAAGTGTATGATCACAGTGGGGCTCAAATGTAGGATGCTTGAAATATTCCCTACAGTTACAGGCCTCAAATGCTAAAGTTGATTGGTGTAATTGGATCTGGAATATATTTAATATTCCAATGCATCGATTTATTGTTTGTATGGCAGCTTGGGGAAGGTTAAGAACAAAGGATAAGCTAAAGATTTATGGTGTTGTAGATGATGATAATTGTCCATTGTGTGGTACAGGTTCAGAGTCAAATAATCACATTATGTTTGAATGTTAGTATAACCAGATGATGATATTGCAAGACAGACTGAAGAGAAGGGTAAATTTTGAAAATATGATTGATTGCAATTTGTGGTGCTGCATCGCAAAGAACAGATTCCAAATACAGGTTTATCAGTGTGCTGCTCTGATCTATGGTTTATCACTACTAGAAAATAGGCGATTTTTGATGAAAAAATTCCGTCGGAATCACCCTGAAATCCGTCTGAAAACCCGTTTCTTACGGATTTTGGTCGTACACGGTTGTCGGAATGCGTCTGGTAGGAAAAACGACCTTTTTTAACAGAATTTTCCGTCGGAAATACTTTTCCATCGGAATTCGATCCTCGGAATATACTTTCAAGTACCAGAAAAGTACGTCGTAAATTTCCAATATATTGTAAATCTGTCGGAAATTTACGACAGAAATTTCGTCGGAAACGTTTGCGATCAAATTATAAAAAAATACATCGCACCACCACCGGCACGGCGTGTCACCACCACCACCATCCCTAACAAACCCTAAAATAAGTCCACGCCACTCCCCCCAAACTAACACAAATCCCATATCTAAACCATCCCCACCACTCTTCCCACCCTAACCCTAAACTCGCCTAAGCCCACAGGCCACCGCCACCACAAACCCGGATCTAAACCATCCCCACCACTCTGCCTACCCTAACCCTAAACTCGCCTAAGCCCAAAACCCCTAAGTAACCCAACCCTAAGCCGATACGCACCACCAACCCATAACACAAAGCCCACAGCCCCTAACTGGCCTAAACCTCAGCCCACACGCACTTCTACGCCCATACGCACCACCAACACCAGTACCACCACATCAGACTACCACTACCCAAATTTTTTAAAAAACAAAAATATAATAAATAAAAAGAAAAGGGTAAACTTACCTTATAAATTCTTCAATTTTCGGTCTATATGGTCAAATTCGACCATAAAAACCCCAGATTGGGAGTTTTTATGGTCGAATTCGACCTAAAAATCCATTAATTTGGTGTGTCATGTTGAATTAGATCCTTGAGGAGTTGTGGAAGAAGAATGGTCAGGGTTTTCATGGCCGGGGTTTCCATGGGTGATTTTTGACGGAGAGAGAGAAGGGAGGATGGAGAGAGGCAGAGGAGGGAGAAGATAAAAGGAAGGAGAAGATAAGAGGAGAGAGACTGATGAGGGAGAAGGAGACCGAGAAATGATAAGAGGATCGGAGAGAGAAAGAGGATGGAGAAGAAAGAGAAATCTGAAGAAGATAAGGGGAAGGAGTTGCGGCTGAAATAAAAGGGTGTTGGGATATTTAGGGTTTCGGTGTCTATTTAAAAAAAATATTTCGACGGAATATTCTGTCGAAAATTTCGGACGGATTTTAATTCCGTCGGAAAGCCCAAATATTCCGACGGAATATAAATCCATCAGAAATTCCTATTTTTCGACGAATTTACGTGTCCGTCGGAAATAGGCCTATTTCTAGTAGTGTATGGCATCAAAGGAATTGAACGAGGCTATTTGGAGAGCTAGAATTTTAAGGCATGAAATCTGATCCTTGTAAAGAGAATAGGTTTTTTAATGTGTAATATAGAATTTGTAATATAGTTTTTTTTTTTTTTTTAATGTAATGTAGTTTCTAGTAAAGTTAAGGCTAGAGATTTAGCTAGGTTAAAGGGCGTTTGCCTAGGGAATTAGTATGCTCGGTGTAATTTCTTGATTATTTGATTAATAAAATTTGCCTTTTCTAAACAAAAATAAAATAAAAATATAATGATGAATAATTACTCATACTCGATATGATTAATGTATGTGATGTATGTGTGTCAATCGTAACATCAAATTTAATGTTGCCATACGTGTCAATAATAACCAATGAAATATAAAATGTACTTACTACAATAAAACACATTATATAAAAAATTATATTAACTTAGTTTGTTCAACTTTTTTTTTTTTTTTGAATCTGGTGCTATCTTTGGTTTGAAATCCTAGATCCGCCAATTATCCGGACTTAGAAAATGGACCTAAGCTATTTTCTTAATAATATTCTTTTTGTTTAATCAACTTCTAATTTTGTATATATATTAGTATATACATATTGAGTGTTCAACATTTAAAAAGAGTGTGCAAAAGACGAAAGACACTTTTAATTTATTTCGTTTAGTCACTTTTCAGAAAGTTCAAGATTATAATGCATGCTATTAGGTACAGCTGTCAAAAATTGACCCGATCTGAGAACCTGACCTGAGTCGGTAATGATTTGAACCTGATCTGTACCCGAACAATGGGGTGAAACTAGTGATCCGTAACCCGACCTGAACCAACTTGATGTTAACCGACAACTGATTTGATCCAATACTTTATGACCTGAATTTGAACCCGCACCCGACCCGATAGTAATCGTCAATCGATTTAATCCGACTCGATAACAATCCGGCCGGAGCCGAATTAGTACTCGGCCCTATTAGAACTTGGAAACGTTTATAACCCAGCATAACCTGTTATTGAAGCGAGTTATGGACATATTAATAAAATTTTATATACCTTTTGTTCTTTATTACTTCGTAGATAGGTGTAATAAAATCTTGATAATGCTTGAACAAATTATGCAGAGCGTAACTAAATAAATTAACTTGATGACATCGAATTTATTCGAATTGAACTTGAACCAAAACCAAGAATGATCCAACTTTAAGATTATCCGACCAAACAATTATTTGACCCAACCTTAACCCGAACCCGAATGTACTATCTATTAACCCGACCAAACCCAACTCAATACAACCCGAACCCGAAATTGAACTCGATATGAATTTGACTCGAATCGGACCCGACCTACACCCGAAAGAATGAACGACCCGGAATAACCTGAACCGAAATTGATCCGACCGTAACTTGAACCTGATCTGAGGCTAGATTGACCCTACACAACCTGATCCTGATTTGACCCGAGACCTGATTTGACCCGACCCGAACCCGACTTGAATACCTGAATTGACAACTCTACTATTAGGGTCTTAAGTAACAAAATGATAGATGAAGGTAGATGATGAAGAAAGAAGGGGCAATTTTGTAAAATAAAGTTAGGGAACATGGCATTGTGAACGGTGAATAAAAACTACAATACTAGTATATATTGAATAAGGACATATGGGCACCATTATTCCTTTTAAAACCGTAGTTAACTCAAGCTAGGGTACTGTGCACTATCATGTGCATTCTCATTCCATAGTTTATACAATTCTTCCCCCAATTCTCAACCTCTCAAATTATAATTTCCATACAATTTGTCATGGAAGATCAAGCTATCAAACAATCCAACAATCATACTACTACAACTTCTAGTGAAAACAGCAGTATCAGTACTATTAGTTCTAATACTACTACATCTACTGCTACTACTAGCAGTAAAACTGAGAGAAACAACACCACTAGTGGTGAGCCTGTAAGGTCAAGATGGACGCCGAAGCCGGAACAAATACTAATTTTGGAATCCATTTTTAATAGCGGTATGGTAAACCCTCCCAAGGAAGAAACCGTCCGAATTCGGAAGCTTCTGGAAAAGTTTGGTGCAGTAGGTGATGCTAATGTTTTTTATTGGTTTCAAAACCGCCGCTCTCGTTCACGCCGCCGCCAACGCCAACTTCAAGCCTCACTCGCCGCCTCTGTCACCCCCGTTGGAGGTCAGACACCACCACCGCCTCCGGTTTCTATGAACCCGGGTTTGCTAGGTGGTGGTAGTTCTAGTAGCTTGTACGATTTCGGGCATCACAATCATCATCACCACCACCAGAATAGTATTATTAGTACATGCACAACACCGGCTTCTTCGAGTGTTACATGTTTTTCACCATCAAATACTAGTACATCTTCTACCAATTTTGGTGATTGTGGTGGTGTTGTTGATGATATTTTTGGTAACTATTCTGGGCAAATGGGATTAATTAATTCTAATCATCATTTGGACTGCCCTTCTTCTTCTCCGAATCTAGAGTTTCAATCAGGTATGTTACTTTAATTTAATTTATTCCTTAATTCTTTAACTTATTCATTTGGCCTTTTAAGGTTACATACTACAATATAATAATTAACACTATGAAAATTGATTGTTTAGGTACCAGGTATATATAATTTGTATTTAATCTAACTTTCACTTTAAATTTCATCTCACTTTTGTTCCTTTTTTTTTTTTTTTTTTTTTTTTTTGATACATTTTGTTTTTTTTTTTTTTTAGCTGATTATTGAAGCCCTAAAATCAAGCTTTAAATTGTTACTCAGGTATCATTTGGCAGTAATAGTAGTAGGTTTAATGAATCTTGTATAAAAATGAAGAAAAAAAAAACGTACTCAGTAAACCCTCAAATTAAGACTGAACTGATTGTCAATATACTGTATGATTAATTAGGCTTATATATATGCAATTAACATAATGAAGTGTTCGTAAAAAAAAAAAAAAAAAAAAAAAAAAAAAAAAAAAAAAAAAAAAAAAATACTGAAGTGGGAGTCACAAGGTAATAAAAAAAAGATTGGGAAAACAAAATTATGAGAATATCTTGTGTTTAAAACTTACATAGTTTTCAGTTGTAGCTAAATTTTAGTTATTTATTTCAAACTCTTCTACCACATGCACACATATTTTAACTTAACCTAAACTGTTGCAACTGACATTCATTAAAAAAATAAATCATGCAAATTTCTAAATTCTATTTCTCCATGTTAATTGCACTCAATTACAAATCTTATAGTGATGAATAATTGAAATCATATATATCTTACCTTTAATATACATATTACATTATTGTTCATGTTCAAAGAACAAAGAATTAGGGCAAGCTAAGCAATTTGTGTGTTTATTTTTCTTTGTACGCAATTTGTGTGCTGATTTTTCTTTATATCAATTAATCGCCTACTTGTTAGTTCAATTGCAAATGACGTTGATAATTTCATAATTGTAGGGATTATAACAGTGTTTCTAAATGGAGTAGCAACACAAGTACCGGACGGGGCGTTAGACATGAAAGCAATGTTTGGAGAAGAAGTGATATTGGTGCATTCTTCTGGTGTGCCTGTTCCATTCAATGAGTATGCAATTTCTCTTCAAAGCTTACAACATGGAGAGAGTTACTTCCTAGTATGTGCTTCTTCTTTGCTGTTGTTTTGTTATTGTCGTAATGCATGTGTTATGAGAAACTTCCTTTCTTAACTTGTGTCTTCTATTGATCTTTAATTTAATTAATACATGAAACAATGATGCATTAATAATATAAAATTCATACATTAAGTTTGTCATTTTTTTTATAGGATGTCTTGTTTATTTTAAATCATATATATTATTGTCACGTACTCCCTTCTTTAAAATTAGTAGGTTGCTAATAACTTATTAATATATATAGATTGATGATTTTAATATAGTACTTACTACTTAATGCTGATGATCTAGAAGATTTTATCAATATTCAAATACTCTATAGTTTTATAAATTAGTATTAGTAAACTTATGCTTAATAAATCTTAAATATAATAACAAAAAGAAACTAGACAAAGTGTCTAAGAGTTAATAATAGCAATTATAAACAGAAGTGATCAATGTTGATACAACGATTAATGAAGAGTAGTTATGTAAATTAGATTTATATATAGTATATTGTCAAAGTTATCATCTATATTATTTAAAAAACTAATTCAATTAAATCAGCTATCATGTGTCATTAGCAAGATACAAGGATAAGCTGAGGAAGTGGCACATTTATTTTGCTCATAGTTTATGCTATAGGAGAATTGAAATTGATTATCTAGTTGCATATTGTTGAGTGTACATTTATTAACAAGGGTTTCTTTGGTCATAAGAGAATGACCCTTACTATTTGGTGAATAAAGTTTCGAAGTAGGGGTTTAACACAATGTGATTGTCACTCCTTATTTATCATTGAAGCCTAGATCATAAATTAAAGTAATGATCCTTGTTCTGTTCGTTTTAGATCCATTTTTCTCTATAAAATGAATACAAATAAGGGTTCATGAGTTTAGATAATGATTAGTAATAAATTTAGACAATATCAGATAAGATAAGTTTATGGAAATTTATATAACAAAAATGTATAATGATTACCCAAGATTGTCTTGTCCCCTCCCAAAAACATCATATTTAGATGCGAGATGATTCCTTATGTTTAAGGATGATTTAAATTGGTTTGTCTTTAGACATATGCTCTTACATGATATATCATATAAAACCTTTAGATATATTAAAAGAAACCCTTCTTTTGTCATAGTTCGATCATCATTCTCCATGACTAGTAATTGTATTGATAATATACAATTAATCAAAGTAACAATCAGATCTAGACATTGAGAATATAATTTGAACTGATAATATTTATAAAAATCAAATCTAAACATTGAGAACATTCCTAAGAATTACCTATAATGTAATTTAAAGTGATAATATAACAATCAGACCTAGATATTGAGAATATTGATAAAAATTACGCGTAACAATGGTCAATGTGATAAGTAGTCACAGTCAAAGAACATAAGAATAAAAAACATATAAAACACTGACAATTAAGAAGGTAAAATGGACACATGAAATCTTTGGCATTGTACTACTTTTGATTTAACAATACAACTTACATAGTACTCGTATATTCTACCTTATGACAGCTGACTTATGATAGTACAAACTACAAAGGGTTTATTTAAGCATCCACGATGAGCTGACTTAGATTCTACCAAATGACAGCTGATTCATTACTCATTCATCATTTATTTTTATTTATTTTTCTATATTTTTACTACCAGTATATTTTTTTATACTATTATTTCATGAAAATTTTATTTTTTGGGTAATTTTGCAGGTTCCAAGAATCGCTTAAAATGGGAATAATAGCTGCACCGACCAATTTGGGATCTTTCATCTTCTCCGCGTCACTGAAGAAAAAAAATTAAGATACTTAGATCATAACAATTTTAATATTTTAATTACTACACAAAACAGCTCTTAATTACTTGCGTTTAACCTATATATCAAGATCTGTATCATATGCATTCAGATTAGTAGAGGCTTATATTATATAATGTACTCTTTTTTAATGGGAAACATCAATTTTTTTTGCAAAGAAATAAACATTAGTTATTTAGTTCCCCTCCATAGAAGGAGTAAGAGTATGAGCCTTTACTATTATGTAGTAGTCAAGTGACTCAAGAGCTGCAATTTTCATTGGGAAATTCCCTGTTTCTCATGGTGAGAAACAAATTTGTTTCTCATAATGACATTTTCGTGAATAAATCAACAACTTTTTCATTATTGTGGGCTCTACAACTGAATAAAATTGAAAAAAGTTGTTGGTTTATTTACGAAAATGCCATGTGAGAAACTGGGGCATCCTCATTTTCGAAAAAGAGTATGAGCCTTTACCAATTTGTTTCTCACCATGAAAAACTGGGGCATCCTCATTTTCATTTGCAAAAAACCTTAAATTTATCCTATATATTCTCTTTATTTCAATTATTTTTTACATGTATGATCGTTTTCATATTTATTTTTCATTTTGCATTTTTCAAAAATTAATTAATAAGAAAAAAGTGATTAGCTAGGGATGACAACAGAAGTCAGATTCGTGTATCCATTTCCACTTGATAATACTTATATCCATATTATGTTACCTTATAGATTTTCGAAAAATTAAAGAAAAAAGTGATTAGCTAGGGATGTTAATGGAAGTCAGATTCATAAATCCCTATCCACTTGAGAAGACATATTTCCATATATATAGTTATGGATGTATATAAATCCAATAGTTCGAAGTAAATTAGGGTATAACGGATGTAGATAAAATTCAGCCGCTAACCTTGAATATGACATCATAAAGATATCATCAACTAACCTAGATAGTATCCGATCCACTTCTTTTGTTTCAAAGTGAGAATGTATACATCATGCAACAAAATTTTCATAAATAAACGGTGACATTTATGTGTAGCCATTTAATTCCCAAGGCTAGCCAACAATAGGAACAAATAAAGAAAAAGTACATTGTATTATCATATGAAAATATAATAACAAAACAAGTGGGCAAAATATCACATTAATTAATAAAGAACATAATATATATTAATTATGTTATTTCTGTTGTGTGAAAGTCCCTTAGTAACGGTGGCAAAATAGTTGACTGCACAAGTAATTTGTAGTTACATATTTGACTAAGAGCTGAGGGCATATATATGTATTGTAGTGATTAAGCAAGCATATATACAGCTATTATTTTCTCAAAACCATATAATATGGCAGTGTCAGCTTCTTTGCGTTTTGCTTTGGAAAATGTTTCTTTTGCATGGGGTGGACCAATGTGTCTGTTTTATGCTTGCTGTATTATGAAGCAATCTATGCAAATGATTTTAATTTTTTTAAAATATATAGTACTAAAATTTTAGCTCCTTATAACATCATCTCAAGGATGCTCACCGTTTGAGAGTATCCAGATTTGGCATACAAGCATAATACTTCAAACAGATTATCAATTAATGTTTATTAATTTTTCAATTATTCTTTTTACCTATACTATATATTACATCCGTTAAATTTTATATGCAACTTTTGCCAAAACGGGATGATCGGACTTCAAGGTTATGTGCAACTTTCTATTTTCTTTCAATTTTTAGAATACAAAAACCCTTGAAATTACATTTTTACCCTTAATTTAAAATTCTAATTTTGATGATTTTACCCTTATCTTTTACTAATCTAATTTAACCTAAACCTAATTTGTTCTATTAATCTAATGACTCCCTACATATATCATCCAATTTCGCCCCAACTACTCTCATTTACTCAATTTCCCAACCACACAAAATTAATTGCGATGGTTGGGTTTTCTTATTTCTTCTGGGGAATTTCTATATGAGACCCTAGTTCTTGGTTTTCGTCTTTCTCTCTTCTTCATACCCAACTTTCTCCATTCTCTCTCTCCAAATCTAAGTTTCAAACATCAGAACTTTGACAAATCGAGTCCCCCAACATCATAGTTAAACTTGATCCACTCCACGACACTTTCATAGCCACTAACGATGTCAGTGAGGGTAATTTGATCCTCTCCATCATTCTATCGATTGAGACACATTCTCCTTTCCTCGCCAATTCTATGAGTTAGGTGAGTATGGTTCGTACTGTTCTTCGACCACCTACAAGGGTTTGAGCCAGGTTCTTAAGAGTGTGGAGGAGGATTGACGCTTCAGTAGGGCTGAAGATCAGGGGGAGTCCCATGGCAAGAAATCACTAGATTTCACTAACGTTGTTGTAAATCTGGTCCCTAAAGTTGGTGAAGGGAGTTTTGTCCTTACCAAGAAGCCCAGATCTAAGAGGGCTAGGCAACAAACGAAGATCCAGGCTGAAATAAAGGCAGCGGTGGTGGCTCTTAGGTGGATGCGTGGGCTGCCAGATCAATAGTTGATTGTGCTTTCCTCTAACGACAAGCCTGAAAAGTTGGGTTCATCACCTCCTTCAAAGAAGACTGGTTCTGGTCTCCCTCTACTTGAAGTTGGTAAAATTATGGGCTCTAGAAGCACTATGTGAGGAGGATGAACCCTAAGGTTCAACCCTCTAAGTGACTGCTTGCGTAATGATCTCCCTAATCCTAACTTGTTTAATTGTATCTTTGAGTCCCTTTCCATTGATTTAGTAGCATGTTAGGTGGTTATTTGATCTTTTGGGTTGTTTGGCTTTGTTGATTACTTTTGATTGTTTTGGCTTAATGTATATTGTTGCCTTGTTAGATGTGTTGGTTTTAAGGTCTGATCTGATTTGTTGGCTTGTTGGATTATATTCGTTTTTTGGATTATGGTTGTTGTTTGATGTATGATATGATCGATTATTATGAGTCCCCCTGCTTTGAATTTGTATCATGATTGTTGTTTACTGGTGGATCTTTCTTGCTAGTGGATTGTTGGAATACATTATTTGTTGTTGTTGGTATAAATTGTTGGTTGTTCTTGGTTGGTTTTGGTAAACCTTGATAGTGAATGTTGATAGTTGTTGGATGTTGTTGATTATTTTTGGCATTTATGGTTGTCTAATGTAGGATGTTTTTGTCCCTTTATGCTACATGTAGCTTAGTAAATGACTGATGAGACTTTAGGAGGTTTGATTGATGAATGATGAGACTATTATGTGCTTGGTTTTGTTGAGTTACACTGTTGGTTGTTCTA